TCACTGTTGTGTCTCCAGTACCCAGCACAGAATCTGGAACACGACCGGTGCATCACAAAACCTCATCAGATGAAAGATTTGGAACCAAGAAATATGGGTTCTAGCTGTGGCTCTGCAGATATTTTTAAAAATGTATATTGAATAATCATGGCAGCCCATGTGCTGTGCATAGGAGATTCACACTATCATTCTTAAACCTCACAACAACATGGTGATGAAGTTGTCGATACATCATCACTTCACAAGTAAGGAAACTGAGGCCCAGAGAACGGTAGGGACTGGTCAGGGTCACATGGCCAAGAAACGAACATATCAAAGGAACAACCCAGGTCCCTAGACTTCCAATCCAGTGTCGTTTCCTTACACCAGCTGCCTTAAAAGCTGCTGTGTGATCACAGTCAAACCTTTTCTCTGAGTCACTTGCATCATATATAAAATATTGCAGTAAATCAGCCTGTCCTTGTCCACTGTACAAGGTTGGAGAGACACGGTGGGGAAAGAATATGGTAATGCGCAATGTCATTTAGAAATATCTTCATCTTTGACCTGTTTGGTAGGCAAAATTCTAAAGATGTCCCCACTACCAAGATTCCCATTCCCTGGTTAATCAACCAAATACTAATCTCAGTAAAGGCACTTTGCTGATGGAGTTAAGGTTACTAATCAGCTGATCTTAAATTGAAAAGATTATCTTGGACTACGTGAGCGAGAGCAATGTAATCACATGAGCCCTTCAAAGGAGAAGAGTCAGAGACATGCAGAAGAGAAAGAGACAGGATAGACGAGTCAGAAGAGGAGGTCAGAGAGATCTGAAGAATAAGAAGGACTCGATTTACCATCGCTGGAAGATAAAGGCAGGAGGCCAAGAGCCAAGGAGTTGGGGCAGTCTCTAGAAGCTGAGAATGACCCCAGCTGACAGCTAGCAAGGGCATGGAGACTTCAGTGCCAAAACGCATGGAACTGAATTCTGCCAACAGTATGAATGTTACTGGAGATGGCTTCATCCCAAGAGCCCCCAGAAAGCAATGTAGTGCTGCTGGCACTTGATTTAGGCTTGCAAAAGCTAGAGCAGAAAGCAAGCTGAGCCATGCACGCTACGCCAGAACTCCTGACCTTCTGTGAGATCATAAATGGGTGTTGCTTTAAGCTGCTAAATTTGTGGTAATTGTTATGGCAGCAACAGGAAACCAATACGACCTGGATGTGAAGCCAGCTCCAAGGGAAGGGGTCTAGATTCTCCTGGGAGTGAAGGGACCAGCAGCCGTAAGGCCTGGTCTTTGTCTCCTGCTTTCCAGGTGGTTCTGGGTCAGGCCCTTCCTGAACCAGGGAACTGCTTCCTTATTGGAAAGATAGTCTAGTGCAGAATTTGCAAATAAGTGGCTTTGTGAGGCAATTAAAATGTAGGGGGTTTTATTTAGCCCATACAAATTTTCTTTAGTTAGTTGCCAATGTTTAAACATCAGGATCCTCACATAAAAGTCTGAATTCCCAGCTTCTTAAAAAAAACAAAACTAGATCTGACAACACATGGCAACAATCTGGGTAGATACCAACTTCCTCCTTTAACAGGGGATGTGTTCTCCAGTCCATTTCTGTCCCTGCCCTCCCTGCTGTACAGAGCCCAGTGGTTCCCGCTGTGGGCTCTGGAGTCAGCCTGCCCGCACTTGAGCCTGGCTCCACCCTTGCCAGCTGTGCGACTGTGGGCAAGTTGCTTCCCCTCTCTGGATTTCACTGGTTTCCTCACTTTTAACTTGAAGATTATAGCAGCACCCATCTCCTAGAATTGTTGGGAGGATTAAATGAGTTAACGCATGTAAAGCTCTCAGAAAAGATCCCAGCACAAAATAAGCACTGAGTTAAGTGTTTATCATTCATGTCACCTGCCTGGGTCCCCTGGGACTGCTCAACTATTATTCCTTCCCAGTGACCTCTGGTTCAGGAACCAGCCCTCTGCTTCTCCATTCTGGTTTCTGTTTCTCGTAAGGATTTTCTCCCTCGTTCTCACACCAAGAAGATGCTCCCTAGGATTCCAGATAATGAATCCTTTCTCTCCATCATACCCCACTTCTGTGCTCCCCCAACCCCCACTGTCAAAATCCTTCCTCCTCCTTCTCCTCTTCCTTCTCCTCCTCCTCCAATTTTCATCCTCAAATGGAAGATTGGGAAGAGCTCTGGCTGGTGCCAGCTGGGGTTTTGCTAGCAACTCCCTGGGTAACTCTGGGCAAGTCCTGTCCCCTCCCTGGTTCCCTCTCATTTTCCTCGTCTGTAAAATGGGTGGGTTTTACTGCAGAACATCTAACGGTCCTTTAGACTCTAAAAGTCTAATCTCTTCCCAGTCTAATTTTCCACCACAGGTCTTGGCCGACCAAGGGTTGTTGTCACCAAGTAAAAGGGGCTCCCTGTCTTCAAGGCAACCTCTTTTCCCACCCCCTAAAAGACCAGTGCCTCTTTCAAATGTACCTCCTGGTTTCGTGTTCAGAGAAGCCCAGCCTGGACCTTCCTCAGCATTATTTCCTAGAAAACCAAACATCCTCCCGAATTTTTGCCGGCTGTATCAGGTGACGGATGGGCCGAGTTACTGTTCCGGAAACTGGAGAACCCACTTTCCAGAAACATGAATTGACTGATGTAACGACTCAGGGGGAGCCAGACGGAGGGACCGACACAGGAATGACGGTGACGGCGCATCAGCGCCCCGGGCCGCCGTCCTCACCTGGCCGCCGACGGTTTGCTGCGCACCCGCGGGTCTGCGCGCCAGCCGGTCCCGCAACCGTCGCTGCGGGCGCCCGGGGCTCTAAGCCAGGGCGCGGGACATCGGGAGAATCTTTCCTTGAGTAGGTGGCTCTGGAGCCCTGCCAGCCCTCTCACGCCAAGCGATTCGCCGTTAAGGGACTTTCCTCCGTCAACCCAGCGCCGTGGGCAGGCAAGCCACGGATCAAGGAGCAAAACGCCGGGGGCTCGACCCCAGGGCAGCCAGACGGCACCGTGCGCGCCCTCGTTCCCGTCCTGCACCCGAGGCCGCTGTCACCAGCAAAGCAAGCCGCACCGGGAAGCCCCCGGTCTCGATTCCCGCCCGACCCCATCTCTGACCCCACCCCTGTGTCCGTCCTCTCTCCTGTCCCTCTTCTAGGTCTCATCCGCCTGCCTTTCCCAGATGTACCGCCGCGCCGCCCCTCCCCCGCCCCGTGTCCGCCTGTCCCCTGTCCCTCCCAGAGGACTGGTTTCTTTAGAGAAGCAAACGCCAAACCCATTACAGAGGCTTCTGTCCGCAACTTAAAACCTTTGCTGCACGCGATTCCTCATAGATAAAGCCACACGGAATATGAATCCAATTTCAAAATTACAAAGCATACGTAGAAATAACCCCCCAACAGTGAGGACAAAATCTAAACTTCTCACCAGAGCCCTCCAGGCCCTGCAAGTTCTGGCCCCTCAGGAGCTGTCCCTCACTGGGCTCCAGACACCGCCCACCAGGGCTCTTGAACCACCAGCCCTCTCCCACATCAGAGCCTGGAACGTGCCTTGGGGCTGTGTGGCCAGCTCCCCATAGTCCTGTAGGTCTCAGCACAGTGCCACTTGCTCTGAGAGCCTTTCTCTGATTCTGTAATCCAAACTAGGTCCCTCTCCTGTGCTTTCTCTCATATTCTGTCCTTTTTCTTCCTAGTGCTCACCAACATTTTAAACTATAAATTTGTGTGTATTTCTTCATTGTCTGCATGCCTGTGTAGACCACGACTCCTTGGAGGCAGGGCAGTGTCTCGCCTGTTCTGCTAATTATCCAGCACATAGTGGGTGCTCATATTTCTGTGAAATGTGAACTGCAAGCAAGAGGTGCTTATCCTTGTGGGGGCTGATAGAAACGTCTACCCCGAGTACAAGACGACCATCTCCCTGGTGCTGCAAGATCACGGTCTGTACTCACTAATACTGCCCCAGAAATTACCCTCTGTCCACCCTCTGAAAACCACTGGCATCTGGATTGAGCAGGGAGGTTATTGTCCATTCTGAAAGGAACAAGACACAGCCATGGTCCACTCTGATGTCAGAATCCCTTTCTCATTCCTTGCATGTCTGCCTTTCAACCTGGCCAGGAAATACTGCAACAACCTCCTGATTAGGGTCTTTGCTTCCAGTCTTAGCTCTTCTGTATATGGAGAGAAAGAGAGAGAGAGAGAATGATCTCTCTCCTTACATCTGGTCACCCCACTTTCTTGCTTCAAACCTTACAACAGCTTATAATCCATTCGCTGGTTCAGTCAATTATTAGACAAACATTTTTGAGAGCTTATTATATTTTAGGCATCATTCTACGTGCTGGTGACACAAATAGAAAACAAGACAGACAAGGTCCCTGTTCTTATGGAACTTACATTCTAGGGGAGTCGGGATAAGGTCCTACGAGATAAAGCCCCAATGCCTTATCTCGGCATTCAGGGCCCATGGCAGTCTTTTCTCCACCTGCGTCTGTGGACACCACTTTTGCCCACTCCCCACACAGCCTATGTCCTGTGAAGATACTGAAGTTTAAAGGGGAGGGTGAAAGGTCTTGTCCAAAGGCAACAGCCACTGAGCACTGACGTTGGGATTTGATCCAAATATGACGGCTTCAAAGCCTGCTGCTCCTGCACGTGTATCTCAGGTTCTGGGCACACAGTAGGGCTCAGAAGCAAATTCCAGATGGACCCATTTCATGGTCTCATATGTGCTTTTTCTTCCTTTGACACCATCCCTGGCAGGGCATGTTTCTTCTGGCTAACTCAAACCACGCATCACAGACTTTGCCTTCAAGGTTTCTAAAACCAGGCCCAAGAGCAACCCTTTTTCAATGGAGAACAAATGTGAGGGGCAGGTGAGGGTTGAGAGGGCTTTGTGAGCTGACGTGGCTCTGGGGCTCCAGGCTTCTTATGGACGCCAGGGTTTCTGGGGGCTCGATGGATTTGGGGAACTTTTGTGATTCCAGGGATAATGGAAACTCCAGGCATGATGTACTTTCCACAGGCTTAGTTGGATCATTTATCTTGCTTTTCCTGGAAGGGGTGGGCATGTGGAACAGGGCAAAGAAAAAAGGATGTTGAAACGGGTCTAGAGCTGAGGTACCCAAATCTTAAAAGGACACCCCTTTGAGCACAGAATAAAGCAACGTGGAGCAAGCAGTGGCTTAGCCTTTCCTCACAACCTCATCATTGGAGCCTGCAACCCTGCCTTCTCCCTCTGGTCCTCTCCCGTGCACCTCCGGCACCAGGAGCCGGAGACTGCTCCCCAGACTCCTCTGGGACGTCTGGCCTGACTTCCTCAGGCAGGTTTGGTCCCTCCCCACTCTGTGCCACCATAACTCCCTGGCTCAGCCCTCATCCTGTGAAGGCACCTTCCCCACCAACCTGGTTGCTCTCTGAGGGCAAGGCCTAGGTCTGACCCATTTTTGCGACCCCAGCATTGCCCAGTGCAGAGACAGGGAGATACTGCAGGAAATATTGGTGGAATTTAATAGATGCATGGTTTATACGCAAAAGGTGTACACTAGGTCTTCTTGCTAGGAGGGCAGCAGGGCACCTCTGGTCCTGGAGAATCATAAACGATAAACAACAGTGAGGTCTAGCACCCCCAAACACTGCCAAGCCCTGCTGAAGGTGTGGAGTACAGATGAGTGAAGGATTAACCTGAGCTAGGCCTGATCTCCAAGCACTTCCGGCTGACTTGGGCCTGTGGCATCTACACTGTGCTGACCTCTGCCTGCCATACGCTCAGAGACCAAATCCTTTGGTTTCCTCTCTGATGCCACAACTGCTGTCAGGGTTCCCCCAAACCCCTTCTTAGGGAGGATTCAATGTGCTGGGGTGTGTGTGTGCGTGTGTATAAATTGCTGATTCTAATTATCCTTTAAATTATTTCTCTTAATTTTCATCCTTCTTTCCCTCTTGGGGTCTTAGCTTCATCATCCATAAAATGATCTGAAAGTACATTCTGGCACTTACATGTCCTACAAGATTGAGGATGATAACTCCCTCAAACCACTGTGCCCTCCTGTCCCCATGGATCTTCTTATCCTTATTCTGGTAGACCAGATTCCAGACACGATGGGTACCCACCAGTACCTGGCTCTCAGGAGACGGGGGCGACTGTGGATTTTCCTGGTTCCTTCAGCTTCAGAGACGTTTTGGGTTCTTGGCTGGCTTTGACTTTAATGCTCTTTTTTGCTCCGATCGCTGCAGTTTTCTTTGCCTGCTTCATTCTGGTATGTTTCACTCTAAGAAAATGAGCTTCTGATTGGTTGTGGCTCTCCACCTCCCTGTGTCCCCACATGGGCTCTGGTCTTGATCAGAAGTTCTGGTTTAGAGCCTCAACAACACCACCGGTTTGCTGTGTGATCTAGGGAAAGCCTCATACCCTCTCTGGGAGTTGGTTGCACACCCTGTATAATGGGGATAACCTGCTAATCAGGCTGTAGGGCTCAGATGAGGTCAGCTATGAAAGGGCCTTGAAGAGATTGTTTTTGGTCTTTAAGTCCAGCTGATGATACTTCAAAAATAGTACCTCAGTTTGCCCTGCTTCCTGGCTCCACTTCTTTCTCCCCCCAAGTCCCACACTTCCAGTTGCCCCTCATCACTTGCCCTAGCTCAGGCCTGGCTCTTCCCTGCTGGGACCTCAGCACCAGCCTCTGGCCTCGCTCTCTAGTCCGTGTCCCACCCCAAGCTCATACTTCCCTTCCCAGCTGTCTTCCATGGCTCCCAACTGAGGATTCAGTCCACGCTGCTGTCTGGACTGAACAGAGCCCCCTGCCCGACTCTCTGGCCTGACCTCCTGCAGCTCTGCCCTGCCCACTCTGGGCTTCTCGCCAACACGTCCAGCCAAGTTCAAGGCTCTTTTGAACCAACAAACACCAAGAACGTTTTTCAACCTCATTTTTTAGCCATTACCTGTCACTCTCGATGCACCTGACACTATACAAAGATGCTGGAAATGTCTCAAATGTACCCCTGGACTTCTGCATATAAAGGTTGAGTATCCCTTATCTAAAATGCTCAGGACCAGAAGTGTTTCAAGTTACAAATATTTTCAGATTTTGGAATATCTGCACACACATAATGAGATATCTTGGGGATGAGACCCAAGTCTAAACACAAAATCATTTATATTTCATATACACCTTAGCCTGAAGGTAATTTTATACACTATTTTTAATAATTTTGTGTAAGAAACAAAGTTTGTGTTCACTGAAGCATCACATAAGGTCAGGTGTGGAATTTTCCACTTGTGGGGTCATGTGGGCTCTCAAAAAGTTTTGCATTGGGGATGCTCAATGTGTACTACTTCCCACCAAGCTAATGTGTCCTCGGACAGCACCTTGGGGACTCTCTGCTGGCCTCTCCAGGGCTGCCGGTCCCTCCCCGGCTTCCTCCTTTACAACATGTGCTGCAAGGGTCTGTCCCCTGGGCCTGTTTTATGGCTCAGTATAGTCCTGATGGCCCCGGGTGGTGGTGTCTGTGTTAGGCCTCTTTCCCTTTTTAAACCCTGGGCTGCTTGAGGGCAGGGATCCCACCTTTGCCTTCGCTGTGCCCTCACCGCAGCCAGGGCCTGGCAGGTGGCAGGCTTTGGGTTGGGCTTGCAGGTGCATTTTACCCCAGTACTCACATGAGGGGGAGGAGGCAGAGGAAGAGCAATGCGATTGCAATGGCTCCGTAGACTACACCCTGGATCAGCCCTTTCATGAAGGTCTGAGAAACCAAAGAACCTGGAAGTAGAGCATTGAGAGGTTTGGCATCGGAGCCAAAGCTCTGCTCCCTCCTCTGGCCCCTGTGCCAGACCCCAGCCCGCTCCTCATCCTCACCCAGTCACCGTGCCCCTTCCAGCCTCACTTGACATCAGGAGGATGCTCAAAGTGTGGGTTCCGTTTTGGTTCTTTCCCTCACAGAGAAGTCTCGTCCCCATTTCTGGCTTCTCGGTCAGGCGGATGGTGCTGTTGGCCCAGGGGCCGAGCATGGTGGAAGTCACCCGGGGGCTGCCGTTTGTGCCATTCACACCCACGAGGGCACCTCCAACCCACCACTGCACGGAGGGTGTGGGGACCCCATGGAAGGAACAGCTGCATTGCAGCATCTTCTCCAAGGAGCAGGAAGAGTGGAGCAGCCTGGCAGGTGCTGTGGGCAGGGAGGGTCAGGAGTCAGCAAGGCATCCTGACCTCCTTGTCCAGTTCCTGCAGGGCCCAGCCTTCTCTTTATTCGCTACTCACAAGAGCTTCAGAAAGCCTTTCTGGGAGCCCACAGGATCACAGGATCCAGCCTTTGCTCAAAGACCAGTTCCTCTTTATCCTCTTTCCTCATCTGGCCTGAACCCGAGATGTAGATGGAGGGCGAGTACATTTCCTGAGGAGCTGCATTGCCTGTGATCCCTTGCAACCCGGGCCAGACGTCCAAGCCTGAGCTCTACTCTGCTTCTTGTCTTCCCATCCCCAACCATCCCCTTAGGCTCTGTGATCAATTTCTCCATCACTTACCGTCTGGCTGTCTTTGGGCAAATCACTTCCCTTCTCTTTGCTGTTTCCCAGTCTGTAAAATTGGGACATTCACTGAACCTATCTCATATTATCATTGCTGTAAGAATGAACACCCTAAGACTCGTAGTGCCCCTAGCTCGGTGCACGGTGAAGTATTACACATTCGATAAATAGAACTCCTTTCTCCATTTCCTTCTTGCCAGTCCCAAGTGGCCTTTGACTGAGCATTCGTTGGAAGCCAAGACTGCTATGGCATCTTCCGGATAAGAAGATTAAAACTGCCTCGCTCTACACAGAGTAGGCAGGGCATGTTGACCATTTGGTGAGTATCATGGATTAATAAGAAATGGTCACATTCATCAAGGTCTTCAACAATGAGGACTTGGTCTTTAGTGTTTTCACATACTTCTTCCTTGAGGTTGAGCTTACTGGCAGAAAGGGGTGACTTCCTCCTAACCAGGAGCTCTTGATCTTGGTCTCTTCATCTCGGTCACTTGGGGGGTGCGTGTTGAGGAATTTGCAGGGGATTGTGATACACGGCCCCCTCCGCTGCCCTCCTCCAGACTGTCTTTTCCATCTGAGAAAGCAAGCTGTGCGAACGCTGAAAACTGACTCACTTCGGGGCTTCTCATCGTATCTGAAACAGCTCCCTGTGCTCTCCTGTCTCCCCGCCACCCTGACTGTGCTCCCACCCTCACTCTCAACCCCACTCCCTGGCCCAGTCTGCTATTTGCTCCAGACACCTCCAGCCTGCCAGAATCTGGCACGTGGGGTCTAATCCATGTGGGTTATCTGGTGCTTGTGCCCCTATGTCCTTGTTCTTCATACCACCATAGCCCACCGCCACCCCCGGCCCCGGAGTCTTACTTACCCAGCTGTGGCAGGGGAAGCCCCATTCGCAGCAGCGATGGTTCTCAGGGCCAGCAGAGGCTCTTTACGATGCTGGCTCTGACATCAGAACCGTGTGATTCGGAAGGGGTGAGGTGATGGGTAACTGAAAGAGGATGTGGGGGTGGGGAAAGCAGAAAGTATTCTTAGCAAGAAGGCAGGGGCTTCCATCTCTTTGGTCATCCCGAAGGCCTGATCACCTGGAGAAGCAGGGATGACGTGGGATGAAATGCTCAAGAGCATCTAGGGACAGGGAGGCACCGCTATGGTCCTCTGTGAAGCCCCCGTGTCACGTCTCCTTTATTCTCTCTTCCCTAGTCTTCCCCCCCCCCCACTCCCCACTCCCTCAGGAGGGCCTCGAGCGCCAGGTCCTTTGGGTTCTCTCTTAAAGTTGAAAGAAATCCATGGAAAGTGATGCACCAGAAAGGGACAGGATCGGGAGGTTTGAGAGTTCAGAATATTCCACTGGGGCCCACAGGATCAATGGCGTGGAGGGGTGCCACCGCAGGCCAGGTGGCCAGGCGAGAGACTGTTGCCGTCATTGGGAAAGAACAACACACTTAAGCTGGTGCATGGGCTGGTGGGGTGTGGAGGGGATGGGACAGATTCAACAGATTTTTGGAAGAAGATCCTACTGTAGGCAGGAAAAGTCTGCTTTTTCTTTCTTGCTGACAAGAAAGCGAACTTTCCTGCTTTGCAGATCACTCTCCACAGTTTTCTATGCCAAAGGGAAAATGGCCCCCTTTCCAAATTTCACCCTGAATGTGCTTGTTCCTTCGCTCAGGGATTTCCCCTTTTCACAGCATTTCCTGGCAGTTCCCCGCTGCCCACTTCCCTTCCTGCATCAACTTCAAAACTGAGTTCAAGGCATTTCCCACATGTGGCCTTTCCTGACCTCCCCGCTCAGAGTAGAATTAAGTAGAATTACCTTCCTCCCAGAAATGCCCCAGAATCCATATTATAGAACATTCTAGCAGACAACTTGTTTGGACTTTTGAAAATGTCAATGTTTTGGGGAGAAAAACCGGCAGGGCTATTTTAGACTAAAATATACTAAAAAGACAGAACACTTACATATAAAGTGTGATCCTACGGGGGATCCTGAGCCAATTTTCTTAAGATATGTGGAGAAATTTGAATATGGATTGGATATTAGGTAATATCACAGAATTATTGTTAATTTTCTTAGATGTGAAAATGATATTATCATTTTATGGAAGAATGACTATTCTTCAGGGTATTTAATTTTTTTTTTTTTTTTTTGAGACAGAGTCTCACTCTGTTGCCTGGGCTAGAGTGCCGTGGCAGCCTAGCTCACGGCAACCTCAAACTCCTGGGCTCAAGTGATCCTCCTGCCTCAGCCTCCCGAGTAGCTGGGACTACAGGCATGCGCCACCATGCCCGGCCAATTTTTTCTATATATTTTTAGCTGGCCAGCTAATTTCTTTCTATTTTTAGTAGAGACAGGGTCTCACTCTTGCTCAGGCTGGTCCTGAACTCCTGACCTCGAGCGATCCTCCCACCTCGGCCTCCCAGAGTGCTAGAATTACAGGCGTGAGCCACCGTGCCCAGCCTCTCTTCCAGGTATTTAGAGGTGACTTTTTTTTTAATTTACAGTTGGCATTTCATTTTTTTTTTCAAAATATTATAGGGGTACAAATGTTTTTGGTTACATGGATCACTTTTGCAATGCTTGAGTCAGGGCCATAAGTGGACCTATCACCCAGAGAGTGTTCATTGTACCTGCTAGGTAGGTTTTTGCCTACCCCTCCTCCACCTTCCTTCCTGCTTGATTTTCACTGAGTTTTACTTCCCTCTGTGCACATGTGTGTCCATCCATTAGTTCCAATTTAATAGCAAGCACATGTGGTGTTTTTTTTTCCATTCTTTAGATACTTCACTTAGGATAATGGTCTCTAGTTCCACCTAAATTGTTGCAAAAGGCATTAATTCATCCTTTTTATGGCTGAGTAATATTCTGCGGCATACATATACCACATTTTGTGAATCCGCTCATGAATTGGCGGGCACTGGGTTAATTCCACATCTTTGCAATTGTGGATTGTTCTCCAATAAACATTCGAGTGCAGGTGTCTTTTTGATAAAATGACTTCTTTTCCTTTGGGTAAATACCCAATAGTGGGATTGCTGCGTTGAATAGTAGATCTACTTTTAGTTCTTTGAGGAATCTCCATTTTGCTTTCCACAGAGGTTGTGTGAATTTGCAGTCCCAAGAGGTGATTTTCAAAGTGCGCTGCAACTCACTTTCAAATGAGACAGCAAAGAAAGCAAGAGAAACAAACATGAACAAATGTTAACAATTGTTGCATATCGGCAGAGGGTATATGAATACTTAAATTTGAATTTTTCTGTGTGTTTAAGATTTTCATAATCAAAAGCTAGGGGGAATATTTAATAATAATAGATTACCGTAAGCTTGTTTAAGTGTTGATTCCAACTGCAGTTCTATTTTAGGTGAGAGGTCTCCTTGTTCAGCAAATCGACTTATTCCCTAACACTTGATCTTTCAGTGAATGAACTGATCAAAGTTCTTTCTTCACTCCAATGAAAGAGAACACAAGAAGCAATTTTCAACCACCCAGTAAACATTATAGTATTCCTCTACCAACATATCTCGGGAATACATAAGCTTTTTGACTTTGAGTCATGATTCAGCATGCAGGGATCTTGACCATTTCATCTTCCCTGGGATATCATGTTGACAATTATTCTGTTTATATGAAGGCATGGAAAACAGCAAGATCATAGATGCCACAGAATGTGATCATTTTCCTCCACCACATTTGCAAAACTTAAGAAGACTGAAAATGTCCAATGCTTACAAAAGTAGTAGTAGAAGTGGAAAGTGGTTTAGTCAAAACCACTGGAAGTCAATTTGGAACCATCTAGAAAAATTTTAAGTAGACATACACTTTGTCTTAGCAATTCCCCTTAATATTTTTATAGAAATCTGCACTATGCAGAAAGACATAGGAATGAGATTATTCAATATAGCATTATTTATTATAACAAAAAACTATGAAAAATCTAAACATTCAACAGTAGAGCAATGGTTAAGTAAATTATCATAATGTCTATAAAACACTTAGAATACTATGCAACAGTAAAAAATAAATCTACATGTTCTTATTTGGAAAAAAACTATGAAAAATCTAAACATTCAACACTAGAGCAATGGTTAAGTAAATTATCATAATGTCTATAAAACACTTAGAATACTACGCAGCAGTAAAAAATAAATCTACATGTTCTTATTTGGAAAAGATCTCTAAAATATATCATATTATTTTAAAAGAAGGGAGAGTACCATAATTTTATATACAAGTTTTTTAGACATCTTTTTGTGTATAGGTTACACGTGAACACATGATAAATTTGGAATCATGATCTCTAAAATATATCATATTATTTTAAAAGAAGGGAGAGTACCATAATTTTATATACAAGTTTTTTAGACATCTTTTTGTGTGTAGGTTACACGTGAACACATGATAAATTTGGAATCATGATGCGTGGGGCTCCCACGTCAAGGAGTCCCAAAAATGTCTCTTATCCGTCCCCTGACCATTTTTCCACTAATGTGCATACGACTTTGTGTCCTCAGCTGGGGGTCAGGCCAAGAGACCCAGGCCATTTTGCCATTTATCTCTATTAGATAATGTGTACATCATGTCAGGAAATTGGGGGTCAGATTTCTCATTGCCATATTTGCATCCTGGCTTTTTAAATTCCTCC